GTCGTGTTCATGACTTTGAATGACTTCTCCTTCACAGCTATTTTCATCCACTGTGAGCAGTGGGTCTCGGAGCTCTTACAGCGGCCCTGGAAGGTCCTGGTTTCGTTTATTCCTAAAAGTATCATGGACTCCAAGTTGACAACCTTCAGTGTTTTCAAAATGAGACAAAAAGTGTGATGAATAAATGTCCATTTATAAGTCATCAACTAGCCCCTGTGCTTTTGAAGCACTAACTTTGAAAGATAAATAATCAGGGAACCACGGTGGGTAATGAGCACACACACAGGCAAACTCTAATAGGTAAACGTGTACATCGTTTTAACGCACCATCTTCTTAATTAAGGTTGATCTCAATGATTTTCTTTGTAGTTTAAAGAATTACTCAAGTCCTCAAGTCTGTAATCACGACAGAGCCACTGCCGTGGAGGAATAATGACGGCAGTGTCTTTTTAAACTAGTCACCCTAAAGAGTGGACATTTCTCATCTGTCCTCACTGCCACTAAAAAGTGAGATAAGAATATGGAAATATAGAGACTGAAGCTGTGGATTAATTGCAAACTGTTCCTCATTACCAGAAATATTTGCTAATTCAATATCGTCTTGTTTTGAGCTACTCTTTTTTTCCTCATCTCTGACTCCTCATACTTTGCGAAACTCCCCAAAGATACTTTTCCATATCATGTAAACTGCAGAAAGTTTAACTTAATTTCCATGTCTACGTCCATAAAGCCACGTGGCTTTAGATGCCTTTAGGTGAACTGATTCTTTCTTTATGGCTATTGAGTCTATAAGAAAAAAATGATTTAAAGTAATTTATACATTTATGACTAACGAGAGAAAGCAGGCAATGAAAAATGGGTAAATGTAGGTTCTTCTAGTTACCCCAGATTTGCTGAATATTATAATAAGGCATTGGATCATCATATGATCCAGAAAATTCAGGCTAACTGAATAAAAAAATATTCTAAATAATTTTAGAAAATTAGTATTTGGGGACAATTTATTATTCTGATAAAACATAAAATAAAAAATTAACTTGGTTAATCTTGTTAAATGGCAAGAAAGACTTTCCTCAGGACTATTGTGGTAGGAAACAAAACAATGGCAGAAGTTTCAGAGCCTCAACTCTGAAAACAGGAAAGACAACCAGAAAGGTACAACAAAGGGAGCTTGAAGATCATGGAATAATTACTAACCAAAGACATCAGGGCACGGGGAATCCTTCCTCAACTGACTGAACAGGATCCTTGTTGAAAGGCTGACCAGAATGATCAAGTATCAGGGGTAGGAAATGATGCGTTTGATACTGAATTTGATAATTGAAAGTGACCAAGTATCAGAAGTGGGAAGGATCCCTCCAAACTGACTGAGCTGGATTTTTGCTAAAACTAGACACCACAAAGTTAGATTCTGAAGTCCAAGGTGGAGGTCTAGTTGAGAGGAGGGCCCAGAGGAGATGACTAAGGTTTGGTCAAAGAAAGTCTGTCCACTCTCTAGTGACCAAGGCAAAGGGAGACCATGTTGGCATTCTGAGTTCGCACTGTCAAAACAGTCAAGAATACACATCATTCTCTCTATTTCCAGAGAATTGAACTCAGCTCTGATTTTGCCATCTGTGTTTCAGGGTTTTTATTAATGTGCAATGGGAAGCAGTAGACAAAGAAGGTGGTTTTTAAATGGCAGTGATAAGAAAATGAGCTGCGGGATGTCTCAGAGCCCAGCGAGGACAGCGGCCCTCCAGCAGGCCTGGGGTACTAAAGGGGCTATAGAGATTCCACTGGGAGGAGAGTGAAGTGGCCCCAGTGCAGAGAAGTGGTGTGTGGAGGAAGAGATAGAGCAGAGACCAAATCACTGCAGAACTTCAAGGCCATTGTGAGGCCTTTGGCTTCAACTCTGAATAAGGAAAGACATCAGAGCATCCTGAATAGAGAAAAGATGTGTCTTATACTCTAAAGAGACTCATCCGAGAGCAGAGATAGGCCGTAGGAAGGCACAGATGACAGCAGGGAGATCAGTGAGGACGTTTCTGCAGTAACCCAAGGAAGACACATGGTGGCTGTGTCAGGATAGGAGCTGTGGAGACAGGAGCCATCACATTCTGAATATATTTTGATGGTACAGGGTTAAGGTTTTGCTTATGGTTAAGACTAATGAGCTAGAAGAAGGAGATAACTCTTTTTTAGGGGGGACCTGGGGAGATTATAGCAAAAGCAATATTGCTGGGGAAAGAACAACAATTTGGTGTTGACACTGTTTAACTGTCGATGCCTACTGGACTCCCAAATGGAAGACTTGGCCATGGTCACCTAGGAAGTGAGTAGAGTGTACAAGATGGGCCCAATGACTGAGATTGACAGGAAGCTCAGAAAAGACCATAAATGATTATAGTGCCTTAAAATTATGTGGCCCTCATCATAAGTATTTTAAAACCTCATTTTTATGCAAGCAGATGCAAACAGGAAGTAGTATAAGCTCTGACTTAGAAATAACACAGTTTTCTGAATTTCATAAACTTCTCTGTACTGTCCTCCTTTGCCTCTACTGGTCCTTCAGGATTGGCTTAGAAATCACATTTTGAGGATATTCTCACCAGGGTTCTTCCATGCCACTGTGCAGAGAACGTCTGGGGACCATCTGAATTGTGTGGTACTTGCCTGTTGACTGGTCATCGTCTCTATTATACTGTAAGGTCCTTGAGGTAAAGACCTACAACGTATAATTGATTCATTATGTACTAAAGAGATTATCATTCCGATACTTGTTAGATGGTAAGGAAGACTTATTTAAGACTATTGTGATAGGTGTCAGAGGGCTGGCAAAGGAGAGATGGGTGAGGGACAGATACGGAAGATAAAATCTCAGTGGCATTTTGTCTCCATCTTCCTCACCCACCTCATCTCCTGCTGCTTGTCCCCTTGTTCACTAGAGCCAGACACCTTTATCCACTGTCTGGAGGAATATCACCTCCCCATCCTCAAGCCTCAGGCTTTTCTATGCTGTTTTTGTCATAGAGAGCTAATATCACCCCTTTCTTTGATCTGCTAATGAATTATAATTTATCAGAACTTTAAATAGTAAATCCTAAGAAGATTCTTCCTGAACCTTCATTCTAATCCATCTCCATTGTGTCTCTCCTAACAGTTTAAATTTGTGAATTTATCATAGCATTTAGCAAGGTCTGTGGATTTAGAAGTATTTGTATGATTATTTATTTGCTAGCTATTGTCTTGATGGGATCCGTGTCTGTCTTCTGCACTGATATGTACTCACCCCTTGCTACTGTATCAGACACCTAATAGATACTCTATAAAATTATCAGAATAAAAAAAAATAAAAATCCCCATACATTTGTATTAGTACCAGCAAATATGCATAATCTAATTAATGTATTCATGATTTTTATTACAGAAAACTGTGAAACTTTGTGATAAAAGTGCCTTAATCTGTTTTCCTCATACATTAGGGAAAATACAGGCATATGTAATAAGAATTAGTCTCCCACTTGGCCAGCAGCACCTGGTTTTTATAAGTATGTAAACAGAAAAAAATGTACTTCCAAGATCTGGGGCACCCCCAGGGATGTTCTGTTTCCTCCGTCACTATTTTAGCATGCGATATAAAATAGCATATCCAGAAAGCGTATGTGCTTACGGGAAGGCATCACAGGGGGAGCAACGATTGTTCAGACTCAGTTTCATTACAAGTTTTAAGAAATTTTAATAAATGTTATAAATTACTCGTTTATCTGGAAAAATCGCACAACTAAAACAGAGGGATTTTTTATCTTTTATTTTCTCCTGTAACACTTCCTTTGTTGAGATAAGTTTAATGTAAGTACCTCCCAAAAATTATTTGAAGACTTTTCAAACCAACAATGGTTTGACATATATTATTTACACTAACCAAATGTTAATACTTTTATTATTTAAATACGGATGCATATGTTTATAAAATTAAGTACAGTTGTTGATTCCCACTTTATACAAAAAAGTTGTAGCTACTGAAACCTAGAAAATACTAAGTATTGCACTGTCATAAGTGTTTAAAGCTATTGAAAAAAAATAAATATTATTAAATTGTCATTTCAGTTAATTATTTGAACATGCAAATACGATGGAATTGTCAACTAGGACAATTTAAATATACTTTACTCTGCAATGGCTAAAGTTCTTGTAGGAAGCATTACTGTAATTAGAATTAATCATATAATCAGAAGTAATGGACATTTGGACACAGGAGGAAGGGACTCGACCCCTTATTCCTATAAGATTTCCTTTCAAGGAACTCTCATGGCAAAATGATCACACAAAATTTTCAGACTGATAATTTCATACGGTTTTTATAAGTAATTGCTAAATTCCATTTGGCAAGCTTTATAGAACTCCTTAGAATATGGAGGAAAGAAAAAACGTGATACTATAAGCCTCTGAATAACAAGTAGAAGAATTAGCAGAAAATTATAATATTGTACTTCCCTATTGTCATTCCAAAATGGCTTTTGAAAAATCGGTTTGGATTAATAAAGTATATTCGATAAAGGATTAACTTTCCAATTATTTCCCTGATAATTCGTATTTTAAATTATTAGGGTGCTCAGAATAGATATAAATTTAAAATCTACCCTTTATTTAATCTTACAACACTGCAAATATGACTTGAAAGTTTCAAAAAAACACAGGAAAAGGGAAGAGAAAGAGGAGGAAACTTCAACACACGTCCTATTAAAACCTCTGCTCATTCTGTTTTGTCCATGACACAAATAACAGAACAGGTTTATTAATAAAATGCATTCGCCTTCCAACAAACATTTATTTCACTGATTAATATTTTGAAAACTTCTAAGGTTAAATCTAAGGAAAAGAAATCTCAAAATAAATACATTGTGTCAAAAAGAATCTACATGATTCACACGTGATATTTTGTTTTCTATGCTCTTGAAATCGTCACTATGGATTTCCTTTTTATGTATCTAATTACCAATAAAAGTTACTTTTCCCAGGTTAATCTCTTGGCTTTTGGAGTGATCATATATAAAGTTTTTCGTCACACTGCAGGATTGAAACCAGAAGTGAGTTGCTATGAGAACATAAGGTAAATATTTCTTTAAGTCCATTGTCTCTAGTAATTAAAAGCTTTAGTAACTTAAAGTACAAATAATTTTTTTGGAATTGTTTCTTAAATAGTTGTTTCACAGTGTCTTTCACCATGTTTAAAGTTTTTATTGGAAAATTGAATTTGATATGTTTAATAAGAGTATAGGCACTGCAGATTAAATGGTAAGTGAAGGAGCCTTTTCAAATATACACCCCCCTCCCTTTTAAGGCAAAAGTTTATTTGTTTTATTTTGTCTGGGGTAAGACGTTTCTTGGAGCTTGGTAATTGTTTCTTTCTTGCGATTTCTAGTTAGCATATTGCCGTGATGTTTCTTCCACTCTCTGTCCCAAAAACTGATTTATTGAGACCTTAAGAATGATTTGTTCAGGAAAAGCAAAGTATACCACCGGGAGCATTGGAAACAACTGACCGCTTGTGTTGCCTGGGAACACTCCTGGAGTTTTAATGCCTTGCACAAGATTTATAGTTGGGATTTAGTAAATGTTTGATCAAGAACTTTCTTTTCATCCTCACCATTCATAGTTGCATGTAGCGTGCTGGGCTTTAATAAAGCTGAAAATGACTCATTTTCTGAGGAAGACTAGAAAAACACCTTCTGCAGTAGAGAATGAGTGGCCTGGACTCCAATGAGAGAATAAATTATTGTTTTGATAATAGTAAGATATTGATTAAGCAATAATTCAATAAATTGTTGAATTAAGTGACATGGTTAATAATTTTATTGTTTAAGAAATAAGTATTCTGGCCTGAATTTATTTTGAAATAGCTGTATTGCCAAAGCAAGTAACAATAACCATCATCTAGTTTTGTGTCCTCCACTTTTCTTCTCTGCTAAACCTGAGAGGAAAACAGAGCCTCTTCTGGTGTCCTGCATGTGTGCGTATCCAAGTCCAAGTGGTAGACTGAGGGCTTCATAGGGAAAACACTTCCCAGCAGAGAGAGAGCACAGCATGCACACTGCAGTATGCCGGCGAAAAATACTTCAAGATTAAGGACATTTCTTTCTTTTTCTTTTTCTTTTTTTTTTTTTCTGAGACAGAGTCTCACTCTGTCACCCTGAGTGGAGTGCCATGAGTCATAGCTCACAGCAACCTCAAACTCCTGGGCTCAAGTGATCCTCTTAGCGCAGCCTCCTGAGTATCTGGGATTACAAGTACCCACCACAGTGCCCAGTAGGATCTCACTCTTGCTCAGGCTGGTCTTGAACTCCAGAGCTCAGACAGTCCACCTGCCTCGGCCTCCCAGAGTGCTAGGTAAAAATATTTTACTTCCGTAATGGCACCTTGATGTTGGAAGCACAGCTCGCCACAGTGCAAGAGCACACCCTAAAGACTGTGCCATGTAACTGCAGCACAGCTCATCAGTTTAAAACTACTTTTGGTCTTCGTAAAAAGTTATCTTGGTTATACCAAAAACTCATTTGAGTAGTTGGGGGACTGGGTTGAACATAGGTGGCTTTCTTGGCTGAAACATTCCAAATATGTGACAGGTCTTGTGCAAGAGGAGCCCTCGCTCTCCTGTTCCTCCTGGGCACCACCTGGATCTTTGGGGTCCTGCACGTGGTGCATCCCTCCGTGGTGACAGCTTACCTCTTCACGGTCAGCAATGCCTTCCAAGGGATGTTCATCTTCTTATTCCTGTGTGTTTTATCTAGAAAGGTAAGCAGTTCTGTACGTTCGTCTTCCCTGCAGTATATTCACGTAGCATCAGTTACCAAATCAATAGAAAATCCTCAATCTTGTAGATTTGTGACTTCTGCCTTTATTGCCTTTAGTGTCATTTTAGTATCAAAACGATCAGAATACCTAGCTGTTCGTAGGAAAACATGCTTTAAAAACCCCTGCTATTAGGTATGTAGGTGCAGCTTATATTCACTCGAGCACACTTTGGAGGATAATGAGAAAGCAGTGATAGCTTAGAAAACCAAATATAACAATTTATTGTGATTTTAAAATATTGATGTGAATGTCGTAGTTATGGCTAACATTTCTCCCTTTCTCCTTCATTTTTTTAGATTCAGGAAGAGTATTATAGATTGTTCAAAAATGTCCCTTGTTGCTTCGGATGCTTGAGGTAAACACGGAGAACACAGATAATTACAGCTGCACAAAAGCCAAAAAACTGTGGATGATCAGTGCACAAAACTGACTCAATCTAATCATTCAGCTATGAATTACCAGATAATCAAATACTAGAAATCAGTTTTTTCTGTTTACAGCATAGGAACTGTAGATAATAAGAGGTGAAATTATGTCCCGTCTAGCAGTAGTGCACTTTCCTACACGACATAGTTTGCTATGTCAAAAACAGTACTGCAGATATTTGGAAAGTAATTGGTTTCTCAGGAGTGATATCACTACACCCAAGGAAAGATTTTCTTTCTAACACAAGAAATATACGAACGTCCTGAAGGAAACCACTGGCTTGATATTTCTGTGACTCATGTTGCCTCTGAAACGAGTCCCCTACCACCTTGGTAATGAGCTCCGTTATAGAAAGCGGAGCAGGGGAGAGCGAAGGGGCTGACTGTGAAACGGGGGACAGGGAGAGGCTGTGATAACAAGGAGCTGTATTTTCAGTGAACTTGCTTTTCTGTAAACTAGATGAGAAACTGTCGAGAATTGAATAAAGAATTGAAGAAACACATTTTAGCATTTTGTGAATTGCTCTAAACTTAAATTTGTACTAAAATAACTTAGACCTTCGTTTGCTATAGAAAGTGTCTGGAAAGGTGGGCACTTTTTCCAATATTCTAAAACAAAACTCCACAAGTTAAAAGGAAACTATTTGTTTTTAAGTTAATGTGAGATCAAAGCTTATGCTGTTCCCATACATACGTCACAGATTTGGGTTTCAGATATTTAATCAGTGAATTATTGTAAATGTCTCGAGTCCTCACTGAATGTACACAATATAAGGGTGTATAGCACACCCCCTGGATAAAGGGCATCACGACAACTTGAACTTTACCTTGGAAACAAAACCAATGTGACCCAAACATTTGTACCCACTTATCAATCCAAAACACATATATATATTGTCATGCCTGCAAACGTAAACACAGTGTACAGAAAGCTGCCGTCTTCTATTCTGCTACCTTACTGTAGTGAAAATGATCTTTTCTCATTACACTATCTCTTTTGAGTCCTCTATTATTTTTAATCTTAGAAATAATATAGTCCACGCTGCACTATTCCCTTTAATTTTCGTATTGTAAATACGAAAGTATTTATGAAAATGAATTGCTATTTTTCTGTTCAGAAAAGTATACATTTAAAAATGTTATTTATAACAAAGAAATCACTGAGAACCGTAGAGGTTTTCACAGGGGATCTATTTGCTGACAGTTTTCTCCGATCTGTTAAAGCTTATCTGTTTAAATGTATAGCTTCTATCTATCTTCACGTCTTCTCGGTAAACTATACAAGTAGTGGCTTTATTTCAAAAATATGTCATTGTTCTTCACCGACCTGTAGAAATGTGCCAGCACACTAAATGTTGTGGTTTTAAATTAATTTCTTAGCTGTTGAAATGAGGCCTGTCCAATCTTGTTCTAACCAATAAAATGTTATCTAAATGAAGCAATTCTGCTACTGCTTTGCTGAGTGTTTTTCTCAAGAAACATGAACTAGCTGCCAATAGGTCTTTAATATTTTTAGGAGATCCGTTATAATTTTTCATTATATTGCTAATTCTTATGTGGTAAACCTGTGATCTATTATTATCATTGCCATTACAGGATAATTTTAGGAATGGGATTATTGAGAAATTAATCTATTCAATAAGATATCTTTCTTTTGTATATGAAACTAATGCCACAGGCAGACTAATAGCCGCCCAGAAACATTCATACCCTTATCTTCAAAACCTATGAATATGTCAGATCACACAGGGAGGACAATTAAGGGCACAGATGAAATTAAAGTTGCTAATCAGCGGACCTTGATAGGGGGAGAGGGTTTGGATTATTCATGTACACGTAATGGAATGAAAAGGTCCTTACAGGTGACAGAGGAAGGCAGAAGAGAGAGTGCCACAGGAATACAGCATGACACGGACGCCACTCGCCATTGGTGGCTTTGAAATGGAACAAGTTCACAAACCAAGGGATGAGGGCATTTCCCAAAAGCTGAAAAGGTCCAGGAAATGGATTCTTCCCTAGGTCTCTGTGAGAAAGTAACCTTTATGTTAGCTCAGACCCATTCCAGAACTAGGAGATAGATTTATACTGTTATGAGCCACCAAGTTTGGAATAATTTGTTACAACACCCATAGGAGACTGATACTGTGGAAATATCTATGTAGCAAATCTTTAGAGACAAGGTGCTACTCCTGTTATTCAGGCAAACCCCAACTCACCGTCATGAAACCCCAACTCACCGTCATGTTTTCACACACCCTCTCACAGATATCCTGGAACAATCTTACATTCTTCAGCATGACATTACAGAACGTCTCATACCTGCTTCCCTCTTCAGGTTTTACCTCTAACTTATGGAAGTTTCTTCAGTTATACCGAACTCTTCACCTTTCCCCAAACTTACTGTCATTTGTCAGATTTCCCATTTGTGGCATTTCCTTCTGTGGCACGCACTGACTTGCCCTCATGCATCTGTCTCTAGGAAGTCCTCTCTGCCTCCCACAAGGAATTAACGACTCCCACCTTTTGGTCCCTGCTCTGTATAGTACATATCTATCTATCTTAATGTTGCATCCTGTTGAAAATATTTAGCCCAGGCTTGGGACATTTGTGACTTTCATTGTGTGAAGTTTTTTTCTTCCTTGAAGGCTAGAACCTTTCCTCTTTTTGGCCTCCTGAATCAATGTCACTTATCTTCTGCTGCCTTCTAATCACATGATTGATGTGGTAACGAGTTTGGATGCTCTGAACAATCTGCCTTTTGCTTTTTTTGCTTTAGGTATCACATTCTAGAAGTCCAGGTGAGCCCTTTCATACTTTTTTTGCTTTAGGTATCACATTCTAGAAGTAGGTGAGCCCTTTCATCCTTGTGTCACACAAATCATACAGTTAGGTGGGAAGGGGTCACAAACAATCTCCAATCAGTGAAACAGAGGAATTGGCCACCAAAATAGCTTGAAAATTATATGATGCTTAAACTCAGTTTTTTCTAGGAAAGATCTTTGGCAAGGAGCTTGCCAAACTAATGATTGTTCGATTTGGCTGTTACTCCTCATTTGATACTGAGTGGGGCAAACATTAGAACATGAGAGTCAACTTCCCCAAACCATAAAATATATCACAAGTTCATGGACAAATACTAACTTACAAACTCCTCTTTTCCTCATAAACAAATGTGGATGAGTTATAAGATGTCAAGGATTCAAAGAACTAACTAGTTTAAGTTTAGCCTCAACAATGAAATGAATGGACTCAAATAAGTATAAGATAAATTCTGTGTGTGAAAACTTACCATAAAGTAGAGATGTAATGATACCCTAATAAAAAATATATGTTGTGATCAGGAAAAACTTATTTACATGCGGCATAACAATTACAAAATGTTGTAAGAAAGTGCATAAGCAAATACTCCACAATCAATCTGCATACTCGGTATAACAAACCTTGATACTAATTTGATGAGAACATCATTTCTTTAGTCCATTTCAGTTCAGTGCCAGATCCTTAAAATTAAATACTAACTTTGTATTTCTTAAGGTTCTATATATCCTATCTAACTTACTGTACCTATCTCCACTGCCCTACATAACAAGACCCTTTTTAATGTTTCAACAGTATTGTCTAAACTCCCCAACATGAAGTTTTTGACAAAAGCATGAATTATGAATTCAGTATGTATTCAGAAAGAATACCCCATTGTTTAAGATTTTTCCTCTACCTGAAATGATTTCTTCCATGCAAATCCCTCCCATTATTCGAGGCTGTCTTCTATGGAGGTATCTAGTCAATTTGATTCCTATTAATTTCCTTGATTCCTACAACATGGCACACACAAGATAGCATAGCACTTAGTAGGCATCGTTATGAGGTCATCATTTCGTGTTCAAGCTTTAAACTCCTAGGTTTCAGATTACCATAGAGGGCTGGGCACAGTGGCTCATGATGGTAATCCCAGCACTCTGGGAGGTCAAGGAGGGTGGATTCCCCAAGCTCAGGAGTCCAAAACCAGCTTGAGCAAGAGCAAGATCTATAAAAAATAGTCAGTCATTGTGGCAGGCCCCTGCAGTCCCAGCTACTTGGGAGGCTGAGGCAAGAGGATCACTTGAACCCAAGAGTTTGAGATTGCTGTGAGCTATAATGCCATGGCACTCTACCCAGGGCAACAAATTAAAACTCTGTCTCAAAAAAAAGTATAGGTTATCATAGAGAGAAATAACTGAGTAATGGCACTTAATGGAAAAAAATTCTTTCTTAAAAATTGATACAGATTTCAGTTGTTCAATTTTGCTATCTCTTTTAATTCTTATAGTAACATATATAATTCTATCCTTATTTTTCAACGTGAAAAATACCTGTTCTTGCACAGGCAGAAAATTGCAAAGTCTGTGTTCAAACTCAAGGCCCCAGCCACTCCTGCTTCCCTAGGCCGACTCTCAGAACCTTGCCCAGGCTCACTCAGGCAGAAAGTGAAACCCCAAGCTTTCTGCTTCTCTGGGGCATGTTCTACGGCAGTAAATCTGTGTAGTATCAGGACACTGTCGCTGTTTACAATCATGTCCTCTCCAGGTCAGGAAGCATGACATGACATTCTTTTTTAACCTGGGATTTTAATGTCCTTTCTACACACAGCTGCAATTTAAAATCAGGCCCTAGCATATGTTTTCAGGTGAAGTGTTTCTCTCCTTTTTCTTTTCACTTGTCGGTTTCTTCTCATACGTTTGTTTCTATGCCCCATTCCCACTTATAAGCCAAGGAATGAGGATGACCTCTGGAAGCTGAAAAAAGAACTAGACCCTAGACCCTCTAGAAAGAAGCCAGCCCTGCTGATGCCTTTCTTTTAGCCTCACAGCTCACCTTGATAAATTGGCAATTCGCCTTAACAAACTGGTATACGTTCTTCTATACTTTTCTTCCTATTCTTACCATCGTATAATGTCCTTAATAGGAGATTACATTAGGAAAAGGTCTCTGTCATCTGCTTTTCTCACTTGGTAAATCAACATCATAGCCCATTATTATTATTTTTTTTTTTAGTGGCTGAATAATATTCCACATTGAGAATGGATCATAAATTGCACAGCTGGTCTACAATCTGGGTTAATGCAATAATTTATTAGAAGACCTCAATGCCTTTCAGAAATAATGTTTGCTATGTCCTACAGCTCAGTTTTGCCGTTAAAAATACCAAATGCCAACGTTATTTTTTTCCTAACATGAACTTGAACACGTGTGGATAAGCCAAAACACCATAACGCTTTCAACGATGTCAAGTTTGCTTGTCATTTCTGGTAAGAATTCAGTGAAAACCATAGCAAGGAACTGAGATCCACAAAACTCTTGAGTATTTTCATTTAAGTGAAAAGGATTTAAATTATTTACCGGACAGTGATGGCTTAAGCAAGCATTTACAGACCTAGTTTAATATAGTGGTTAATAAAACAGAAGAAAACAAATCAGTAGGCAATCTGAGACTACAGAGCATGCTATGTGGTCTTTGAGACGTTAG